AAAAAAAAAAAAAAAAAATTATTTTTTTATTTTAAAAAATAAATATAAAAATTCTTGAATAAAAATATGGCCCTAAGCAATTACCTAGATCACTTAGTCAATCCGAAAACGTCCAACTTCGCAATCACTTATTAGTCCGTCTAAACACCAAACCACTTCTTGTACGGTTATGCTTTACTGTTATACTAGGATTCTTGTATAATAATTTGGTACACAATTCAGATTGAAGCATCTTTCCGAGGCAGCTAAAATTCTCAAAATTCATACTCAAAAGTCTTTTATACTTGTTTCCTCTATTTTGTACAACAATTATGGATCAAAACTGTTACTTATTTTAATCAATGCAACATATTTATAAAGAATAAGTTGTGAATACGAGTTTCGTGTTAATCATAAATGTTATATCAGTAAATCCTTTTCTATTGTTTTTCAAAACATTCGTAGAAATAAACCCTACCATAATTCAAAGAAAATAATTGATACATCTCAAAGCATCTCAAATTCTAACTTTTCCATCTTAATTCTTTAAAAGATAACCTAAACTACTATAAACCATATACAAAGTCTATCCAAGATAAGATTTGTGTGCAGATACACTTTTTTTCGATTTGAATGTATTTTTTGTTGATAATGTGTCATATTCTCATGTGATGTCACGCACAAATTCATTTCCACGCCTCCTACTTATCTATTCTCACAAACCTCTCAAATATATAAAAAAATATTAACAAGTGTAAATAATGATTCACTTCAACTTTCAATATATATCATATGGAAACTTTAATTAGGTAGGGCTGCAAACGAATTGAACGACTTGCAGGAGCTCAAGTCATTCGACTTAAGCTTGATCACCTCGAACCCTTACTCAAGCCTATATTTTATAACTTCGATTGCTCGATGAGACACTCGAGTATAAATTTAATTTGTGAATACTCCTAACTCGAGCAAAATTCATGCCGAAGTTGAGAAAAAATCTTATTCAAATAGTTAGAATCGAATCAAAATCGAGCAAAATTCGATAAGATGAAACTCGAGCTAATCTCGAGCATTCGGAAATTTTTGTCGAGCCGAGCCTTAAAAAGCTTGCTCATCGAGCTCGAGGGCAAGAAGCAGTGAAAAAATCGAGTTTGGCTTGATAAAGCCATTGCTCGAATCTTTTTGGCTCGTTTGCAGTCCTAATCTATGGTTTTCAACAAATACAACACTTCTATATGAACAATCTCTATATTTATAATTTGTTTTTTAGGAGAAATTTTTTATTTAGGAGTAAATGGGGTTTATTTAATGTATACTAGGGCGTAAATATAGGGATAATTGCAAAAACTAATACATATGTAAACTCCTAAGTCTACTGAACGAGCATTTTGACAACTCTATATTGCATGTGGCACAGAGGAAAGGAAAAACTGGAGAATTTTTCATAGCATAAGAAATATTAGATTAGATGTACTTTACCTTGGCCGGTGAGCTACAGGGCATCGTAACAAGAGTTTGTACAATGTTCCAAAACACACAAATTGTATTACTGTCCAATGTTTCTGCAGAAAGAGAAAAATAAAATAAAATGTGTTTATGTGTACCTAAGTATTTGTTAACCAACAAAAGAATGAATGGTCCACAAACCTAACCTACAACCTGGAACAATCAACAATGTATGGTTACCATCATGCGAAAAAACTTAATTATACAGGCTATTAAATCTATTTCATCTAACTACCTAATAAAATCTACCTAATATGCAAGTCGAAAGCCACGCCCCACACTATGTTAGTCATAATACACTCATGTCTCTCTAACTCTTCAACTTCACGACTATCATGAGTAATTGTAGTAACACTCAAGGCCTAAATTACATTAGGTTTTTGAGAAGAGAGGACAAAACAACTCTTATAGTGTACGTTTGGGAGTTGTTTCCTTAAAGAAAGGCATCCGCCACAATAAATAATTGCCTTTTGTTTGGAAGTTATCTTTTCTAGTTTGATCCGTTTCACACTTGTGCCCCATTTTTCTTTCTTTATTTCCATGGGGACCACTAAGATTTCAAGTCTCAAGTCTCCACCCCAAGTGTGGTGCCACAAGAAATTATTGAGGACCCACGTTGCTTGTTTGGTCATTAACGTGTGTACTAAAGTTGTACTAAAATTGGTCATTATGGGCTGCAAAAACTAGTGGATTTTGAGATATTTTGTTTTATTTTTATTTATATTACCGACAAGTAGAACACAGAAAGCCACTAAATAGGCATGTGTTAACTCTAACTTTCGAGTAAAAATAAATTATAAATTAACAAATATTATAAAAGTTCAACTGTATCGGTGAGGATGGAATTTTTACAGCTTGATCAACTCACTCATGTGGAACGATCAACCCCACTCATGTGGGTGTGTGTGATCCAACGATAAAAATCCCGACAAGGATAAGTTCAAATTTTCCCAAATGCGATCATATGGCTACTTATCTTCAACATTTTGAAAGCAAAAATGAGTCAAACTAACAAACATGAAATAAAGTTGAATAAGGCAATTTATGGGGCATTGGGGGAAAAAGGATCACATCACGTTTCTCAAAAAAATATCTTAAAAACTTCATCTACTCCACCTTTTAGGACATATATCCCACTCTTGCATGGAAACAACACAAAATTAAGTACTAAAGGATTGTTGATTAATGAATGTATCATGACCAATTTGAGCTAAATTTCATCTCATCATTGCGTTAGGCGTGCACATGATTGATTAATAAGGTTAGTTGTATCACATCCATAATCCATCAAAGCAAACTAACATCACAAAAAGAAAAAAGGAAATTACCTCTTTTTCATTTTTATCTTTGCATCACTTCTTTTGCCTTTTTTTCCCCAACTCTCGCATTTTGTCAAGTTCAATGACTCCTAAAAAATGGCCAATGGCATTAAGAAAAAGAGGCAAAAATTTATAGTTGATGATTGTAAGAAAAAACTTGATGCAAAAACAAGCACCACAAGATTTGGGGAAATGGGAGTGTACCAAATGATACTTCCATAAATAAACAAAAGGTGATTTAATATCTTCTGGTTTTACCTATAACTACAAAAACTGCCACAATATGAAACATCAAAATCAATAGGGGTCCATTTTATGTTATTTTTATTAAATCAACCACACAATGCATGTAAAAAGCACACAATTCCCATCAGCGTGGGGGCTCACTAGTTTTTGGATCCTTTCTTATAGGTTGGGAGTTTCTAACTTTTCATTTAAAACGTTCACAATCATGCAATTACCTAAAGGTCCTAAACTCATCAAATTACCTTTTGTTTGGTATATAACTATGATGGTGAGTTGAATAATGAAAACAAAGATAATCAGTTTTACTTACTTTGACCCTTTAAGAAAAGCAGTTAAAGATAAATGAAGAGAGATATATGTAATTTTCTCATTTTCATTTTTTTTTTTGGTGGGNGGTGTAAAAAAGACAAATAAGATAATAGTAAGATTGCTATGGGAAGAAGTGTTTTCATTTCAGAAATTTCCCTGGCGTAAAATACGAGTTTTCTCATAAAATTTTGAAAACTATATTGCCTATTCTTTTCATTATTTTTCCTCCACCAAATACTTCAGCTCATTAAAAAAACAAATTTAATATCATTTATCACTATTACATTAAACCTTATAAAATTAACTACTCACATATTATAGTTATCAACATATAGCGTACTTACAAATTTTAGTTAGCAATATATTACGTTAATTTTTTCTATTTTTATCTCAAATCAACGATCACCATGCTTTTATTTTCCAGTTTCTAAATGCTAATTCAGACATGCAAACAGCACCTAACAACATAAACCCCTTATCCCCCCCTAAATGACAGATGTACCCTCAACTACCACCAGAGGATACCAAAAATATTATAAAGAAAAGAGGGAAAAAACAGTAAATTGGCAAAAAGCATAGGTCAAGGACCATGCTAATAGCCATAGGACATCCATAGCAATTACACCAACACGGTTTCATAGTTTGTACACATAACACCATGGTCATTCTAACATAGTATTTACATTAGCGCCAGAATGATATTTCTCCGACATGTAGTAGTAGTAATAGTAATAATAATAATAGCTGAGACAAGATTAAATTAAAAGTGTAGCTGCCACTGCAACTTGCAGGAGTTGCGT